TTATTTTATATTATAACATAAACATACATTATTTTTTCCTCTTTTTTTTGTTGATTTAAAACCATAAAAATGGAATTTATTGTTCATTAACTTATACAAAATTCATTCAAAAATTCAAATGTGTGCAAATGTTCTATTCAAAATAAAATAAAAATAGATTTAGTGTAAATTAAAAAACAAATGAAAAAGTTCAAAATTACTTAACAAAGAATTATATAAAAATATTTAAATTTTAATTTTAATAAATACATTATTAACAAACGACAAATAAAAATTTAAAACGCTCAGTTAAAGTATTTGCTTTAATATAATATAAAGTAAAAACAATCCAGATTAATCAGCATTTTGAAATTTTCATATAATTTACATGTATTTTAGTTAGCATCACGAAATGGCTAAATTTACCACAAAAATTTAATTTTCACGCCGGGTTGAAGTACGATTCTCGTCTTACAACTCAGCTTTGAAAAGTTTGTAAGATTGGTTTTAATCACAAAAGTGTTTAAAATTTAATTAAACGATGGACTTTAAAATTTGTTTAATCAACGAGAAAACTTGGTTAACGCCCAGTTTCAAATATCAAAAATTCTTTCTAATAAATTAACATTTTTTTTTGTATTTTTTAAAGCGTATTTTATGTGTTAAAAACTGTATTTAATTTTTAATATTTTCTCAAATAATATATATACCGTATATACTATGAAATGTTCTGTCTGTCACGCTCGATTTCTTTTTTTATTTTGAATAAAAATCAACTTGTATTGTCGCGTTAAAAGGTCGTTTTTTAAAATGTACGCCATTTAAAATTTTTATTTGCCGAAAGATTCCATAGAGTGAAATTCAGTAGCTTAACTAAAACCGATATTAGAGGACCCGAATTAGAATATGCAAACCTTCATTCACCCTTTTATTATTGTGGATGTAACTGCCGCTTAGCTCAGTGGATGAAGAATAAACTATAAGGTATTGTATACATGTGCATTTGTCAGAACTTTTTCCTGTACTTATTTCATTTTTTTCTTTACTTATTTATTTACAAAGGCAAGGGGAGGCAGACCCGTTTGGCCCCTCCCTGGTTACACTACTGGAAAAATTTAATGGGAATAAATTGAGTTATAGTGTAATTAATTATGAAATTAATGAAATATTTTAAAAGGTTTAAAAAAATAATAATAATAGTTTATTTGACATTATTAACAAAATATATTACATAAAATAAAATAAACAACGAAAAAAATACAAATATTTTGTATTAAAAAAAATATTCAAATTATCCTACAAAACTAAAGTCGAGTTCTTATTTACAGCAGCAGATGGCGCTAATGTTGTACATTGTAGTAATTAAATTTTTCATATAGTTTTTTGTTTTTGTTTTTTTTTTACAAATTAAATAAAAATGAACTTAAAAAGAATCAATCCCCAATTAACAATTGTGTAATATATTATTAGAAAATTAATTATACAAATAAACAAAAATGCCCTCTTCCTGAATAATTCATGACTAATGAATCAGTTTTTCTTGTTTTATTCTTCCAAAATTTTTGCCAGTCTAATTGATTCCTGCCTCAAAATATAAGGTCTGGGTATAGGAAAAAATTTTATAACTTTTTCCGATTGTTTCGATTGCTTTGGATACAAAATGGCGCCCTCCTGCTTTTCTGGAGCGGGTTTCTTTAGAGGAGATGGATAATATATGTATTTTTCAGGATATTGCATCCACTCTTTCGATTTATTGGGAAGTTTTTCAGGATTTGCGTATGCTACATCCAGCCATCCCATTGCCAAAAATGTGGCAATTAATAATAACACTCTCTGAAAATAGAGAATTTTGAAATTAATTTTAATACGATAATTTATAAGTATTATATTAATTTAACGTAAGATTTACTGAAAATATATTTTGCAAAATCTTTATTGTTTTAATTTAAAATAACATATTTTTTAGTACAGTAATTCATATTGAATTTGAATCAAAAGAACAAGACGAAGCAACACTTGGAGGGATTCCTCTCTAGAGGACTTTCTACGGGAAAATGTCTATTTATGTGTTAGACACGTGAAGAAAACACGGAAAACTTCACGTGACCAGCCTGTTGGCCAGGTACGAACTCGCGACCACTACCAGTGTTCGATGCTTTTATCTATTTGTTTGCATGTAAGCCAGTAATTCATATTCAGGAAATTTAAATTCAATTTTAAAAGTTTCAATTATTAAAAGAAACAATTGAATATTCATATAAAATTTACGGTAATTAAGAGAAATTTAAAAGTTTTCAGATATTTTGAATGTTGCTCTTATATTACTAGTTAATAAAGTTCAAATTAAAGTTTTATATTATACAGAAAAATAATATTTTAAATTTTAAATCCAAAATAATATAAGAAATCAAAAACATTAAGTAAATTATCAAATAAAATAAAATTAAAAATTATATAAAATATTAATTTTATTTCGCTATTGCATAAAAGAAATAAATAAAAATACATTTATAAAAACGAGTCTGGCCTACAAAAAGTTTATTTCTAACGTTTTAAAGAGATTTAGAGATTTTTAAAGGTTTCTATTCCAGATATTTTTTTAAAAAAAAGCACGCGAGAGAATCCCTCAAGTGCTATCGTCCCGATTTTCACAGTCTGATTGTCGTAAAGTAAACCTCACACAATTGTGGTCAAAACACGATTTAGAAGTATATTTTGCATGAATTCATTAGTCTAAATTCGTTAAACAAGCAATATATACTCATTTATTGATTTGATAATAATCGAGGGCGTATGTCATGCTAATGATTTTCCCTATTGCATATATTAAAATGGCATCTCTTATACAAAGAAAGGCGTTAAAAAACATCAATTTCAAATAATTCAACTGTGCTTTATTATGTATTTGAACTATTTAAGAGTTTATAATGACGAAATTTAACAAAGAAAGGTTTGTCTGCTCGAAAAAAGGCGTATGCTAATTTGTTTAGTTGGGGATAAGTAGGTCAAAGAATAAAACGAGACATTCAAGGATTTTAAACATATTTTAAGAGTTGAATGTTAATATATACGGAATTTAAGTTATATTTATTCAAATACAAATTTAATATATTTTTATAAATCTATACGAAAAAGTTTTTAATGTTACTTTTGATAAGATTTTTCCGTGTGTAAAGACGTTAATAGGCGTATTTCTTTTGTATTATGACTCCTGATATAGAAGTAGCTATATAAAGTATGTGAACGATCAACGAGAAAACAGGGCATCACGCCTTTCACGTTATTGTTAGTGGTTGCGCCTATATTCACATTTAAAAAAGTCATATATAACTGTTTAACCAATACCCGTTACACTCCTTGTACGGGCTGATTTTCTCAAATATTTATATATCATATCGATATATTCTACGATTATACAAATGTAGAATATATGCTACAATAAATAAGTTATTTTTATCTTCTGGAGTATTTAATCAGATGATTTTTGATACGTTCACAATCATTTTTACGGAATAAACAAAATTGTTTTTATATAAAAATCAACCTTTGAAACATTTTTATAATGTTTTTTTAATGAGAAGACAAAGTTTAAACAATCGTATTTATAAATTTCGAACGCAAAAATAATATTTGAAACTTTTACTCAATCTTGTTCGCCCTACTTTACAACAACTTGTCGCGCTTTACTTATTTAATTCTTAAAAAATGTTACGTAGAAAACTAAAGTAACTCACCATATTCTTTCTTTAGTCTTGTTTATATAATACTACTTTATAAGCACCCTCCTAGAACTACGTAGTAGCCTTCGATTGTGTAGGAAGAGAATTCGCACACACACACTTCTCCTATTTGGACCAATGAACTGTAGTTGTTCTATTTCTATCTTGACATTCCTTCATCTTTCCTATACAGAAAGCATCTAAGCGTGTAGCGGACTGTTCGAACTGAAAACAATTGACGTTTCCGAATGATGTTTAAATAGCTTTTTTACCTCTTCCACGACCGTAACTCCTTTCCAAAAAGAGAAAAATGGGGGAGATGCGTGACGTAATATACATTCATAAAACTGAATTTTTGTATTAAAGATAATTCTATTGTAATCGTTACGTCACGGTATCGTTGTTCGTGTTAAAACGGGTGACGTTTTAATGTCGTAACAATGACAACGGACTCGTATTTAAATAAATTATATCAAATAATTCTGCATGAGTTTATAATTAAGGAATGAAGACTAATTTATAACAAAGAACACATATAGAAATTATTTTATTCTCAACGCTACTTTTAAAGTAGTTATAAATAGCTAATAAGATGATTGATGCCGTTCGTATCTTAAAGGGGTCAAGTTGAATTGTTCAATAAATATTACTCTATCTTCAACTCGAGTCACGCAACTTATAAACAGCAAAGGATAGATAATTTATTTTAATATTTTCTAGTATTTTAAATTTTAAAAATTCAAAAATAAATAATTTTTAATTTTAAAAACAAGAAAAAAAAAAACGAAAAAAGAAAATAAACCTTTGCACGCGTAACAACATTCAGAAGTACAAACTGACCTTATTTTAATAATGTCGAAAAGGCAAGATATAACATTAAATGTAGCACATGTTTTATAGGAAGTGTAAGTTTTTATATTAATGAATAGTAAATCTTTTCCTTTATTGATAGTTTGAAAAAGTAATGCGATATGAAATAGATGTTTCCTGGTTTACACAATTATGCGATTTTTTTTATTCTTTAATTTTGTAAGCGACGTTAGAAACAATTTCCAATATCATAATAAATTGGACGATTAACCTAATTTAAATGACCCTGCAAAGGTAAAAGTAACATTGGGTATAATGTAAGCATTTGTTACGGAAAATTAAAATCGAAATAAACTTTGTCAGCGAAAAGTGAACATTTCATCAATTAAATGATTTTTTTAACTGGCTAAAATCGATTGAAAACGTATTTTCAATGAGACGTGATTAAATTTCATTTTGAAAACCTGTTTATGAAGCCATTTTTAAATTATATTCATTATTAATGATCTATATATGTTCAAATTTTTTATCAAGTTTTTATCATATTAACTACAAGTAACTTTTCACTTATAGTTAATATGATAATAATAATAAGCTTACTCACTGTTGCTTCGAATAGTGAATGAGCTTAACTGTAACTGAACTAAAAATAACATAGTCAACATCTAGAACCTAACTTTCATTGGAATATTTTTTCTTTAATCAACAGATCATAAAGGAACGCCTCGCTAACTCAGAAAGAGATGAGTCTATAATACGAATATACATACAGTATACCCTCGGTTTTAACGGACTTTGGATTTAACGCACAAAAATCTCTCTGTCCTAAAAGAAAAATTTAGAATTATTTTTAATTTGCGAATAGAACACTCTAAAACATTAGCCAATGAGTAGGCTGTAAATTACTCAATGCGCATTATAATAATATTTTATTATAGTGTCTTGATAATATATATACCCAAGTAAGTTATATATATATTTTTAATAGATTTTTCAGATATATATATACCTGAAAAAGCTTAATTAGTGTTGAGTTAGTTAATAGAACGTAATCGACAGACATGATAGAAACTGTATCTAAATTATATTATAATAATGAATTATTTATTCAATGCTGACGTGAAGAAATATCAAATTTAAAATATTCGTGTTTTTTTAAAAATTAATAATAATATAATCGTAAAAATTCTGTTAAAATGTAAGATTATTTTTCATATATATATCATTTTATTATTAAAAATAAAAATAAAATTTATTTACTATAAAACAATTTAAAGTTTTTCAATGAATAGAGCGTGAGGTACAGATATATTGAAAATTATTATATTTGTATATACAGTTCAAAATACAATGACAATTTTTAGTACATCTCTTACTCTTCCTTCAAAATTTTAATAGCAGAAACTTTAAAATAATTTAGATTTTAATATATATATATATATATATCTAATAAATGAAATTAGATGATAACTTCATAATTGTATAACCAGAGAAAGTAGTTAAACACGATTAATTCGTACCAGACAAAAGTTTTTTCAAATGACCTCCTTCATAATTTCCGGTTGACCTCGTGACGTTACACGGAAGAGGAAAAAAGATCCTCAACGTTATCTTTCACTTTTTTCTTCACTAATTTGTTTATAGGCAAATTTTAAATAGAATATTCGATTGATTGTTCCGATGATTGTTCAAAATTTTGAAGACGAATCTTCAAAATTTTACTTGGTATCGGTTTATTGATTTTTAATAATAAATAAAACTGACTCAATATATATACAGGTATATAAAGAAATTTCAAAAAAATATATTTATAGATTAAGTTATTTATAGAAAATTAATCTAAACTGTGTTTAAAAAACAAAAAAGATATATTAAAAATTGATTCGAGTCTTACTTAAACAAACCTATATTTGCTCATCTCTCTGAAATTTGTTCTTAAAACGTTTTTTTCAATTGTTCGAAAATTGTCTTCCTGTTTGGGTGACATTTCTTTGAATTTTTTTTTGTTTTTTTATGCATTTTGCTTACACCACGCCTGCAAGCACTAAACATTTCCTGTATGATTGTCTCACGATTGTTGGGGTCATGACGATACTACTTTAACTTCCGGCGATGGAGACTCCAGATAGAAAGGGGGTGAAAGGAAGAAAAAATTAACGCCCCGGTTTTATGTTATTTTGTGTAAAGCGCAACAGAGAAGGTATATAAAGCAAAGCGTAGCGTATCTTTTCACTAGTTGTTTTCATTTATTCACCAGCATGAAACACTTGGTGAGTACTACATGAAAAGTGCATTCGACATGCATACAGTAACAGAATTATTATGTGGTTTTAATGTTTAATTCTTAAAATTATGGCATTGCAGGTGTTTTCCGTTTTGGCAGCCATCGTATTAGCGGCAAATGCCCAACTGTACCTGGGCGAAGAAGAAGAATCGGACTTGGAGTCTGCTGCAGTCGTAGGTGTCCCCTTCGTAGGCGGCCAAGGATTAGGAGGTGTCGGAGCAGGTGGTCTCGGAGGTGGCGGAGCTGGAGGTCTCTACGGTCTCCATAAGGGCGCCTTCGGCAAGGGAGCCTACGGTGGATTAGGACACATTGCTCACGGTTCTGCAGGCTTTGGAGGAGCAGGAAAAGGTGGATTCGCTGGCCACGGAGCTCATGGAGGTTACGGAGCTGGAGCCGGTTACGGAGGATTAGCTGGCCAGAAGGGAGCCTACGCTGACAAATTCGCTGGTAGTCACACTACAGCCTTGGGCAAGGAGAAGACCTTCGTACTCAACCAAGATTACGGCACTGGAGCTAAGGGAGCCTACGGAATCGGTTTCGGTGCCGCCGGTGCCCACAAAGTTGGTGGTGCTTACGGTGGTTACGGTGGTGCCGCCGGAGGTGCTGCAGGCTTGTACGGCGCTGGAAAGGGTGGCGGATATGCCGGATACGGAAAGGGAGGCGTTCACTCCATCGGCCACGATTTGGGTGTCTATGGCAAGTACCTTGGAGGTGCTGGCCACGGTGGTTATGGTGGTGTTGGTCACGGTGGTCTTGGAGGAGCCGGATACCCATTCGCCGGCTAAGTTCTTGGATAGAGAGCGTAACAGATAAAAGGTGTGTACATTTTCGTCCGCAGAAACAGCAATATGATTATTTATGTAAAACGTGTCCCTCGTTCGATTTTCAAGTGTGTTATATCATCTTATTTCTAAGTTTAGTGAATTTCAGAGATTCGTCCATAATAAATGAATGTAAAGATGATAATAAAAGTTGTGTTAAGTTTCACAAAAAAGCTGTCTGAATATTTTTAACGCATTTTAATCATTACACGAATTGAAAACACATAATTTGAAATCTTATCTTCTGTTTATTATAGACCTTATGCAGGGAAGTTAGTTTTTAGTTTACATATTGACGCATCTATTTATTTCGTTACTTTGATAATTAGTGCAGTTTAAAATGAACCAGATATTTAAACCTTTAAAATCAGTTCGAAAAAATTTAACTGTATGTGAACCGATCTTTAAAATCTCCAAACTCCACTCTCCTCTCGCAGAAGAAAAATTTCAAGTCAATTCATAAAAAACACTAGTCTAAACACACGAATATTTTTGAAAACTACATAATTTATTTATTGATATAATGTTTCTTAGGTTAGTCATATTATAAATTTGTGAAAGGTTCGTTTTCGTATTAGAACATCAAAATGAGAACTTTTCAAGCTAAATTGAAATTAAAGAATAACGCATTTTGATAACAATAGAATTAATTTTTAAAACACATAATTTTAAACTGCTTATTTGTATGGAATTCGTAAATGACTCAACAGTCTCGCAACTTTACCGATTGTCGACAGTTTTATGAATTTATATGCTTGTTTTTTATATAAATGATTTTTAAATTGTCATTTTCATAGTTTTTAAACATATTTATTAAACTTATTATTTGAAGTATTGATAGAAATACAGTATATACTGTATGTATAACATCTGTACTGTATGTGTAACATCTATATACTGTATGTGTAACTATGGGTATTTTCAATCCAATCACCAAAAAGACAATTGCATTTCTAAAGAATCATTTAATTTTCTGTTTTTTTATGACTCTAGAACAGCCTATATTCGTAGGATATTTGTTTTTAAAATTTATCTCCCTTCATATTTTAGAGTTATCGAATACACTCTAAATTCATTTCATAAGATTTCTGATTTTGTTTTCTTTTTTCATTTTATTTAGGCTTACATCATAGTAATGATTCTCAAGACTAGAATGATAATGTGTTATTTTATTTTACATATATCATAACTAATCATATTTAAGTGCAAACACTATCACTCAAATACTGTTAAAAAGCTCTTTAAGTAGAGGAGAAGGTGGTATTATGTAACACTGCGGGTATTATGGAACCACCCCATTTCGAACTGATAATAAAGGCGAACTGTAGCAGAATGTGGCTGAACTGAACTAGGCAGACATCCATAGCAAGGGGAAAACCCGTTTTACTTCAGTTAAACGGTTGTCCGCATTGAATCAGCAAATTTGTTTTTTTCAAAATTCGCAAGTTTTGAATGCTAAGTGAATTTAATTATTTTTAAAATATAAATCGTGTAGTTGTAGGTTCACCGGTGCATGTATTCCGTTCCAGAGACTTAGGGGTACATATTAATCTGTGTGATGTTCACATTTTTAAAAATTTGGTCTCGACAGACATAAGTTAATTCGAGATGGCGATGCGTGAAATATGGACCCCATTGGTGCTTTTACAGTAATATAGAACTCAACTCCTCCGAATTCTCTTTTTGCAAGCAGACATTCGTCTGGAGCAATTTGTGAAAAAGACACTAGGTAGAAAGCCAATTCTTCCCGAGAATATCGAAAAAGAGCTGCTGGAATATATATTGTTGATGGAGGTCATATTTTTCTATTATAAAAGCATTTTTGCGATAAAATACATTGGAGTAAATAATTTGGTAATTATTTAACATTTTTTGTACTTTCCTATTTGTTTTTGGCTACATTAAAGCATTTTTTTGAAAATATACAGTAAGGTTCCATATTACCACCCGATTTTCTCTAAGCCTACTTTCAGACTTTTTGTACAAAAGCTTTCAAAAACCATACTTATATTTACACTAGCGAAAAATCCAATTAGGAACATTTAGATTAATAGTTATCAGTACTTTTCGCACAAAAAATGTAGGTGTAGTTATGATACCTTGTTTACAATTCACTAAAATGTAATTGGGGTTCCATAATATCACCTTCTCCTCTAATATCAGTAAAGCAGTATGGCAATTAAAATTAATATAAATGCCATTTTTCTTTATTGTATGGTTTATGTGCAATAAATCTTTAAGTTTATTTTATTACATTTTTATTTTTTATTGGGAACTTTCGAAGTCTGAAAATTTTTGCTTTCTAGCAAAATTTGACATCATTGGATTGAGTGTTTTAAAAGGCTTTTAGCATTTGATAAACAATAGTATATAAGAGCCAGAAGAGATCCGTTTGAATCTGTATTTGGACAATCTTAATATTCCAATTGGATTCTAACTCGGATCTCTTACCGCAGGAACAGATTTTTTTTTATTCCTCGATAAATTGATACAAGAATTCTAAAAATTATAACATGTTTATATTTTTATTATTCTTATGTAACTAAGTTACTTTAATTACGACTACTTCTATTAAGTCAAAATTTCATAGCAGTATAATTAAATTGGATACAATCATTTTTCTGTGGCAGCATCATTGCTCTCAAGTAAAGTATATAATGTCACGTATGCCAATCGTACTGTACTGTACATGCTTGTCTGTACATATTTACAAGTCTATATTGTTTGAATTCTCAGCGTACTACATTCTCAGCGTATTTAAATAGTGTAATTTAAATTTGCCTATTAAGCACATGATACAAGGGGCGTCCAGAAGGTAAAGAACATTTTCGCATAGCACTCTGCTCAGGTAAATTACCGCCATCGATTCAAGGTCAATTTGTTCTCTAATGTGTTAGCTTAGCACGTGTAGTTTTAATAATGGCAGGCTTATTGTTACTGTTTTGTCAAGTGTTAAAATGTGTACAAAAATCGAAAATCCCCAAATCCGAAGTGAGAACGTTTCTAAACGCATAGAAAGTCTGTCCTATTGAAATTCATAAATAAATCACAGAAATATATGACGATCACATCGTGAACGAAGCAAGTGTGAGAAAATGGTGTTTAATGTGTAATCAAGAAAGATAACGCGTGACCGCACTCCACTGCAGCTACTCAAATCGTGCTTCAGAAATTTGACTGGAACATTTTCGGCCACCCACCATACAGTCCTGATTTGTCCCCCCCCAATGACTTTCACCTCTTTCCCGATCTGAAAGAGTTTTTGGGTGGATTTGGAATGTTTTGGAACGATTGACGAGGTGAAAGCTGTAACTAACTGGCTGAAGGAAATGGAGATGGAAGTCTATGACAAAGATATCCAAGATCTAGTGTCGCGTTACAAGTGCTTTAATCGAAATAGTGACTATGTAAAAAAGTAACCGGTGTTGTACTAATTACTTAATAAAACTTTTTCCTATAATTACTGTTTTTTTCTTTTTTATATCCAAACGTTCTTTACTTTCTGAACGCCCCTTGTAGGCCCACCAGTGGCCAAGCGGTGTTCGTTCCCTGAACACTGGGAGTTCAGTCGTGGGTTCGCGCCTCGCTCGGACGGGCCTGGCCACGTGGAGTTTTCCGGGTTTTCTCCAGGTCTGTAACGCCCAGTTTCTCTTAAAAAGACCTCCCGGAAGGCACCCCCCTAGGCAGATCGCCCAAATGTTGCGTTGCCGTTGCCATAACTAAACAACAACGCCTACTTGTATTTATAGAATATTAAGTTCTGTGCTGTGCCACACCGTCAATCAAAGTTTTCCAGATATGGCCCAAATTTAAAGTTCGATATTCTTACTACGTACAATAATGAGTTTATAAATGATTGGTTCGGGTGGCCCAGGCAATTGCCCTTTTTGACCATAGGACAACGCGCATTGCAATACCATAAAAAATCCAAGGGTTTTTTTAAATGAGATATTCCACTTGAAATTCGCGCCAGATATGCGTTATTTTTAATTTAAAAAGCATTTTTCTTGATGATTATAATTTTCCGGATATTTTTTTTATATCAGAAGGTGTGAAATTGTTGTTCTTACGCACTCTAAGTTTAATTATGCCGATCTGGTTACCTTAGTTCTTATAAAAATTTAAAAGCATTTCTTAATTATTAATTAAGATATTATACATAATTTTATAGTAACAAAAATTAAGAATAAATACCATAAATATTTATTTATTTATTAATAATATTCTAATATGAATTAAATTTCTCGATTCTAGAAGGCACATTTTTTACCTGATTTTATTTGCTCGAAATGGATACGAATTGTAGAATCGATGGCTTACATTCGTCATTCAAAAATCATCATCCTCAGTCATCGCGGGTGGACCACGTAATGCGTTATGCACCAACATTACACTTTTTTGGCGATACTGTTCAACCACATCAATTCAATTGAGCTTTACTGATTGAGCATTTAATTTAAACTTTTTTTAACGTTTAAAATGACTTATTTTTTATTGTATTGTGCGTTTAAACTTCCTTAGCTATTTGGACAACTTTCTTAGCTTTCGCTGTGAAATTCTAGACATATCAAACACAAGGACTATTTAATAATTATTATCGTCGATAAGAGAAGTAAAATAATAAAATTCATAGCTTACAGATAATGTTAGTTGAATATATCTTGAGTGTCTGCCATACTTTTTAAGTACAAAATAACGACTAAATAACCAATATATCACGAAATTACTATTCCAGATGCCATCAAAATATCGTCAATGTGAAAAAGGTACATTTTTTAATGTCACGAGGATGGCAAGTGTTCAATATACGAGCAATTATTTATTGTGACATCGTCGCAATGCCGGGATGCAATTTTAATCATATTTTTAATTTATTTAAGTTAAAATATATGCTCTCCATCTCAAATTAGTAGCGGCTTGCTCCTATTTTGCTTCATACTTTTCCTGTTATCAAGCTTTTGTACTGTACATCATACTTTTCCNCCCTCGGCTAGTCCGTCACTCCGGTTAATCCGACCGTGGTCGGAGTCGAGAAACTTGTCCCGACTCGTCGGTGACTCACCGTCCGTCGCGTTCTTCTGTGTTCGTTACAGTATATGTTTTACATTGTGTGTACGTGTACAGTTTTGTGTGTGTTTTCAACATGTCAGGAGTGAAACGTAAACACGTTACTCTTTCATTAAATGAAAAGTTAGCAGTGCTACAAAGATTGGACAAAGGGAAGATTGTTTATTTTACTTTTTTCTGATAATCCGACCTTTTTTGCGTTCCGACCATACCCCCAGTCCCAAAGGTGACGGATTAGAGGGGTTCTACTGTATTCCTAATGATAAAAAGCCACGCTGTTAAGAGTATGGCCTCTTTAATAGTATAGTTAACATTTCTATTTACGAAATATATGTTAGATAATTAAAGAATAATTAATTTTATCACAAATTTACCAATGTTAAGGTAGTTCAACACTTGGGTGAACGCCCGTGTTGAGCTACCATAACCCTACATTTATTTCTATGTTCTTCTGCATATAAGGTAAACATTAAAAAATTCATGATAAATTCGATACCTTTCGAGAGGACTTTATACAAGAAGCCATGTATTTTTCACCTCATAGAATTAATTTTACTGTTTATCTTATTTAGATGTTAGATACATGAAGAAAACACGAAAAATTCCACGTGATCAGCCCGTTGGTGAGGCTCGAATTCATAACCAAGCTAGCAGTGTTCAGTGGTTTTAATCACTCAGCCACTGCTGAGAGTAGAAATAGAGCTGCCAAACATGAAGTTACCTTATTATATTAATTAAATTATCCACAACCGTGAGGCAGATAATGGTGAGGGCTTATCAGACCAATGATGGGCACAAATTTAATTAATATAATTATATCAAGGGCTAGAAGTAACTTTTGTAATAATGAAGTTACCTGTTTCAGTGCATTTGTTAGGTGACAAGTTAGAAAACAATACAAATTTTATTTAAACATTTTTCCTTTAATAAAACAAATGTTAAAATTTGATTTCAAAACCGTTGTGCAAATTTATAATTGAGAAATAGGCAACGGTAATTTTAATTGATTTTGACGTTCTATTTATCATTAGATTTTTACTTTTATACAGCAAATCCTCACTTAAAGCCTTGGAAACCAAGCGAAAACGACATATAACAAGGCCTATTATTCCATAGGCTAAACGATAAAAACAAGATGTAATTCAATTAATATTAATCTAATTTGATCATGTTTGCAATCCCCAGAACTTATTTTCCACCTCATAAAGTCAATTTTACTGTTTATAAAGAAAATTCAACAACAATAATTGTAAGTGATTTCAAATGTACGATACTTGAGTCATTCCTCAACGACGTTATGTGAAGACTTGCTGTAATTCAAATCAGTAATTTTTTTATTATGATTTAAAAAGAATTGTCTTCCAAGTATTCTGTTATTTTTCAGGGATTCCACAAGCAATTTAATTCATGATAAACTTTATTCTGATTATTTTGATAGGCGAATTAATTGTTAAACAAATTTATTTTCCGATAGCTTTATTTCATTTTCTAATAAAATTCCTATTCTGATAGCTTTATTTAATTTTCGTAAAGTGTCGTATAAATATTAATATTATAATTTTTAATAGTTATTTGCATTTAATTATTTTACATCAAAAATTCGCTTTTATGAAGCATCTAAAAATGAGAATTGATGAGAAAAATAACGTGAATGTTAAAGTTGAAACGGCAGAAACACAAATGTGAACAGAATAAAAAAAAGAGATCTATGAAATGTTCTCAAAATGCTTTTGAAATTCAATGATTTAAATTTGTCCTTCTCGTCAAGCGATTTAAAACTTTACCCAGCAATCAATTTAATATTCCATTATTTATCATTTATCAAACACAAGAAAATTGTACAGTAGGCTGTCATTTGCCATTAATCTGCGCAAGATGTTTATATCGAGAAGAAAATTGCTGTTAACTAATCATTCCTATTGACAGGATAAGATACAACTTCCTCGTTCGGCTTTACTCATGAGCTATTTCTTACACCCAGAAATTGCCACTCTCCAGATTTGACCCGGACTTTCTAGATTTTGCTGAAGATTTCTTCGGGTCAACTCATGTAATAAAAACGTCTATTTAAGATTTATATTTAATATTTAATATGCTATACCGTGTCCTTTAATATTGATTAATTAACAGAAATAAAATAAACACAATAGACTTCAATATATAAAATTTAGTTTGATAATTTGAAAGATAATTAAGTCATAAATATTCTTTAAATTTTAATATTATATTATTAACATTTTCTCATTATTATTCATTCATTATTAGTAAATTATTAATTAATTTGACAACCCATAAGACAAACATTCTAGAACATTTGTCGGTATATAAGAGACAGCGAGAGATATGTGAAGCTTAATTTTTCTTCATTCTGACTGTAATTTTTAGATCATCCTCCCAGAACAAAATCTTAATTAAGCCATAATTGTTAATGTATTTTAGAAACTCAGTGTTTATGATATTCTTAATTTAAATATTAAATTTAAAAATTCTATAATGGTTTACCTAATTTTTAGAAATAAATTATTAAACGACACATAATCAATTAAAATACAAAATAACTTTTTAATCATTCGTATAAGAAAATTAAGCGAGACTTGAGTCAATTCGTTGACTATTCGTTATATAAGTTTTCAATTTTTTTTTTAGTTATGTTTCGTAGTAAAATGTATTAATTTTCTGAAAACGCTATACAACACATTGACAATAAATAAATAAAAATAAAAATATAATAAATATAATTAACCCTTAACTGGTATCGTAAATTTTTCAAACGTAACTGGTTTCATGGGGGCTGCGCGGCCCCCAAGCAAAATTTGCCTTTAGAGAGCAAGTTTAACAATGTGACAGTTCAAAAGGGCATAAATGCTAAATGAAACCCTTCTTTAGTATAATCAACTTTTATTTATTTATATAATTTTCTTTACTTAATTATTACAAGAGATCACAAAATTGTTACAAATTTTGGTGTATGCTTATTTTAACAATACAAAAATTTACCATATTGTAAGTTTATACCAAAGATATTTTTTTTTCTTATTCTTAAGAAACTAATCTTATAAAAAAGTATCTTTTATAGCCTCTAACTATCATTTGTTAAAAAACCACAGGTAATATAATCACTTGTATTTTTAAGACTCAGGAACATTTTAACGCGATTACGTAGTTCAGTCTTGAGAGTTATCACATAGTATTTTTGTAATACTATGCACTTTGCAAATAAATTTCAAACAACTGTTGCACTTAGTAGCATATTTACCATCTTTTTTTCCAGCACAAAATGACAACATACTCTTTTCAGAAGATTTCGGCTTGATCTAGCAATTTGTATATTATCATCATCTATTAGCAGTTCAAATGATTCTTTGGTAGTCATTTTGAATTTTTGATGCAAGATTGAGATATCTTTGCAAAATAATTGTAAAAATTAAAAAAAACATAAAAACACATTTCCACAAAAAACCAACGTAACTGGTATCGTGGGGGCTGCACAGCCCCCAGAAAATACGTAGCTCCATCTTTGTAAGTGCTACAGGGCCAAACATTTGGCACTCGCTAAAAGTCGCGACGTAATGAGATTACATGAAATGGCAGCTGCACACGATATTTAGATTTTTAGAAAATCATAAAAATATGACGCGTGGGGGCCGCGCGGCCCCCAAGAAACCAGTTAAGGGTTAAAGGTATTGTTTATAGCAGAGAAACGATGCTTAAAATTACTTGAGTTAAATCTAATTGCATATGATGTCATATCCAGAAATAAATTTATTTGACGATGACAACCCTGCCCTTATAACCTCCATATTAATTGAAAAATTCTGCCCTTCTCACAGTTGGACATAAAGTTTTTAATAACTTCCAGTAACAACTAAAATCGTGCCTTTGCTTACAGACTAAAATCTCAATAGAGTTGAAGGTAAAATTTTCAGAAAATTTAGCAAACTCTTCGAATTATAATTTGACGATGATGACTTCAATATGATAAATCACAAAGTAACACGTTTACAATATAAAAATAATTATTTTATGTTTATTAGAAATATCATCAATGCTAAGAGATAGAACGTAGAATCTCGACTCTTCTATTGATATTTCATTCATTTAATATTACAATTTTCAAATTGGTTAATGAATAATGAAATAAAATTCAAATAATTTATCACTTTATTTTTGATTTCACTGAAATTTAATTCAGGTAATTTAATTGTAAAGACACTACGAATTTTCGTAACATATTCAAGTTATAAAGAATATTCTTCGGTTAATTTTACATACTTAATTACAAAAAAATTTTATTAATTTCTTTATTATTGTAATTTATTTTCAAATTACTTTAACCATATATTCACGAAACACTGAAAAAATTGAAATTCTGTTTCAAAAATTTAAAGAAATTCTTTCCAAAATATTAGTAAACAAATTAAAACAACAATTTAAACATAATTAAATTTAAATATAAAATTTTACACGCTTTTACGGTCCAATAATTAACCTGACCTCACACCACATCTAAATATTTCTAACAGTTGTAACAGGCGAGAGTGTGACATAGATTGCATCGCGATCATTCTTACTTTCTACCTACCGCGACTGGTCTACTTCCGCGACAAAACTTCTCTTCGACATAATACATAAAAAAGTTATCCTAACAAGGATAAAGAAATATAGAATGCTGTGTCATATTTACTCTTAGAACTGTAGAGACAGATCGTTGTACTTCAATATGAAACTATTGGTAAGTGAACGTTCGTAACTTTAATTATTACTATTAACAACTTAATTTGTTTTCTAATAATAAAAAAAAAAACAAAAGAGAATCCTTTCGAGTGTTTTTAGAAGCAAAAATCTTTCGCTATCAATTATGATTGGTAACGCCCCATTGCCATAGGTGGCATCAATTGTTAGGTTATTGTCCCATTTTCATTTTATCGATACGATCACACGTCTAACGAGACACAAAGTAGAAATTAGTCCTTTCCTCTTAAAGATTTTTATATTAATTAGATATTTCAGTTGCTTAAGATAAATTGGGAGAGATAGACCTTCGAGAAAAGATGCTCGTATCTTGTTAGGTCTTGAATTGTTGTATAACTGGTTATGCTGAGTTAGTAGCTGGATATTGTTACACAATTAGTAACTGTGGGAGAGAAAATGCTAGCAGCGCCGTCTAATATATCATGACTAACATTTATTTTATTTGAAACATGCACTCCAGCAAACAAGTGTCGTATAGTCGGTCTCATTTCTATTCGTTATAACCAAATATGCGCTACAATTGGATCCCCCAGCATAAGTGGGAATGAGGACTTATACATACTGTACTTAAGAAAACTTATGATAGGTTTCGAATTTGGATCTCTCCAGCAGCAAAATGAAATCTTATTGCTCAGATTAATTCAAATATTTAGTATTTTTTCCTAAGGGTCTCTATTAGATTTAATTTAATTTTTGCATAACAACTCAAGGATAGCCGCGCATATCGAAGGATAAATAGCAACTAAAATAAACTTTATTTATATTTACAGCTATGTCTAAATTTGTTTTTCGTGTACGTCGTTGCCATTCCTTATAAAGCCATCGATAGCAGACAAGATTACGCTACTTCCGGTACGAGTCACATAACAAACACATACGCTCTACCCGATTCGTACGAATATGAAGAATACGACGAAGCCTTAATTCCGGCCGGAACGGAAAGGGTTAAGAAATATCCTGTTGGAAGTGGTCATGTCTCCGTACCTGGAGGCAAAGGTTACGTCAGAGCGGGTGCCTATCAAAGTGGTTATTCTGGATCATTTTCTTTCGGTGATCCCAAATTCGCGCTCGATGCAGGATTCAATGTTAAAAAACTGCAAAAACAATTACATAAATTTATTCAAAGTACCATCGGTTCTCCACAAGATATTGTTAGTGATATTTTTGCTGATTTACCATTTATCGGTTAAATTAATTGGAAAAATCACATATACATTTTCACTTTTGTGGATGCTGATCGAGTCTTACGTAAATGATTCAGTTTATGTAATTTCCTATTATCGTGTTATTATATATTTATTCGTTATTATTTAAAGTAGTGTAGTGATTGGATAAATATTTGAATATCGAATTGATCATTATTTGATCGTTAAAATATTTTAAAATATGTTTAAATTTCCTGTTAAATTAGGAAGCCATATGTAAACTATATTTATTTTAATAAAATTCCTATTCATAAAGAAACGAATTTTATTATTGTATGTTTATTAAATTGATACATAATTTATTATTATTAATTATATAATAAAGTGGCACAAGTACAAAAAAATAAGCATCAACAGCCAGTAATTTGATATCCATCTTAATATGAACAATTTGGCTGATGTCTTTTGATGTTGTACAGTTTTTTTTACATTAATGTTTCATTATTTTATTAATAAAACGTCATTTTAAACTTAAATAAAAAGAGAAATATTTTATCTTTACAATTAGAGAAAAGCAATAACATCGATACAAAATGGTCCACTTTCGTTTAAACAAGCTGTCGGCAACATTTAGTAAATTTTTATCGTGACGTCACCGAAAGTGTCCTGTTTACAACAAATCCATCACCACACCTGAAATTCGAACTGAACTACTTTCATTAAGTTCGAGAGAATTTTACCTAACTGTGAACTATTGACCTAATACATTATGGTTTCCGGATATTTGTTAAAATATATTAAGTAGACTTGAAAAAAATATGGCCTTAATATTAAACTTCTTATCTAATATTTCTAGTTATATTTTTAGTTTTAAAATTATTATTCGATTCCGTACAAAATTTTATTTAAATTCATACATTTCGCTAGAAATTTTTTTTAGAAGTTGGACGAGTTTTCACGTAATTGTGACTAAAAGGATATGAAAGACGAAAATTGGCAGTTGGGTCGATGCTATACATTTTCAAGTATCCACGATAATTATTGTTTTCCAAATCGGGTTTAAAGTCTGGTGGAGGATCGAAAACGTTCACAAATGGTACATTATGGCAATACGATGTCGAGATGAAAAAAACAATAAAAATCATACAAAAATAGGAGAACATCTAGAAATATAATAGTGATTGTTAATAATATTTTTCGGAATTTTGTATATTTTTTGTTTTGAATTTTATATGGAATTTCAGTGGATATGGACTGAAAAAAGGAACCAACTCATAGGAGAGATATATCACAAAATTGATGTCAGAGGTGGAGAAACACAATATATAGAGATATATATAAGAATGTACTGTACAAGCGGAGGTATTAGTTCTTGTTTTTTCGAGATTGGTTGAAATGCAACAGAACAAGAAAGGATATTATACATATGAATATAATTAATATAAGAAAGAATATTTCCTTGTACAGTATTTTCTTGTATCCCCTTATAAAGACAGAAAGCATATTTTCAAATTTTTAACTATGAAGTTGGTTCCTTTTATAGTGGCAAAAAATATGTTTTAAAGAAAAAATTATACTTACCATTTTGGACATACTCTTTCAGCTTTAATGTTATTCGAGCTTTATCCGCTTTAATATAGCTTATCTTCAACACAATAGACTCATCCAACCAAAGTAGCGCAGGTGTAAATACATGCCAAGAGGTCAAGGTGGCTAAGATTTATAATTCTAAGACTGGTCTTTTGGCAATTTTCTACATTCGTTGCACAAATTAAACGAAATGTCATAATTATATTGTGTTATTACGTCATGCGACTTAGAGGTTAAGGTCAAAGATCATACAAATTTCATAAAACTTTCAGTTACGATTTAAACATCTGGAAAACATTTTAAACAGAAGCAATATATATATAATTACAAGAAAAAATTTAGGAGTTAAAAATGTATTAAGTTAATATCTACAAATACTTAATAATTAAGTAATTCACTTTGTATGCTACTTTTTTTTTTAACGTTACAAGCGATTGGCGCATTGATCGAAAGCGATTAACGCGTCAACCATTAAATATACCAAAATGTCGTTACAGTAGCTTGCGACGCGCAACTATGCGCAACGCATTACTCATTCAGTTTTATTGTATTAGTGATGATCATCAGTTACGGTCGTGTAACCAAGGAATATCCCAGTAAAAGTAATTTATTTATTTAAAATGAGTATACTACTCGTATCTATGGCGTGTTTTATAAGTCTGAATACGAGATATGATTCGGATCAAGGATTTAAAACTATGGCTGATGACCCAATAAGAAATTGCCAGTTATGAGTTATAAAGAACTGTATATAATGTCACTCCACACTCAGAAATCATATCGATTTTTTTAACTTTAATAATTTAAATATAGAAGAAAAATTAATAACAATAAAATCAATATTAAATTATAAAATTATACATAAGTATATCAAATATCAAATATAAAATTATACATAAGTTAAACCTTATGTATAATTTTATATGGTATTTTATTTTAAAAGAGTAACAGATGTGGCCAAAATCGTATTATATATAATTTAAATATTTTTTAAACGAATACGAAAACTTATTTTACTTTTATATGAATTATTAATATAAATGAAAAAGTATTATAATCATGTTTACTGTAAGTTCGCTTTTCATTTCAGGTTTAAAATTTTAATTTTAACATCTGTAGTTTCTAGTGCTGCCATCTGTTGGAAATAATGTTAAAAATTCCTAATGATAATTTCAAAAATTGCATAATTTTATAAAATATCTAGAATACATGCAATAACCGTATTATAATTTAATAAAATTATCAGAAATTTTAAAATTTGACAGCTCATTAATCCGGTAAAAAATTAGAGTTAATAACGAAATTCTTGTATTAGTAATCCAATAATGAAGTGTATTTGTTTTTTTTTTTTTTAATGCGAGGATTATTATGTTATTTTAATCGTTTTCATGAAATTGTGCTCAAATTATATTATTATTTTTAACTTTTACTTATCTAAATCGCAGCAAATTCAATACTATCCGCATACAGAGTCTTTATTGTTAATAATAAACATGCTAGATATACAAACATGGTTACTAAAACCTCCCATGGTGAGTATAATTACAATTTAAAGAGTTTTTAATTGAGAGCTTTCCATAATGAATATAATATCCTGGTAAATAATTATTTTATATGCGGAATCACCTAAAGTTACCAGATTACTTTGATTCGTTTTCATTAACTATTTCCAGTCAGTTTTATCAACAGTTGAAAGTGAAGATGAATATATATTTAAAAATCTATATACATTAAACCGGTTATTGCTCAATACTTAAACATTTCTTATGAGGATGTTCTTTCTTTTTAATTTTCTAAGAAAAATCACAGATACTTCTACTTTTTCTACTGAGTCTATTATAATATTTAACGTATTTTTTTAAATTTTATTGAAGCTTAAACTTCATGCTTTGTTTAGACTTTATTTTTTTTGTCAAATAAAAAGTATCGAACTTAACACGCAAACCACAATATCTTTACAGAGCATACCCTATAATGAATGATTCTTAAAAGTGTATTGTTTTTACTCACGATGATACGGTTCTAAACGTCATGCAGATAGGTAAAAGAAAATAATTTTCGCATAAAAATAAAATGTATTTAATTCATTTATTATGGAGAATGGCTATAAACTATATATAGATAGATAATTACTTGAAAATACGGTGGGAAATCTACCCCTCTGGCTAATCTGATTGATGTATTATTATTATGACAAATTTTTAAAAATCATTTAATGGGAGATAGTGTTGACTAATCTGTCGAGTAATCTGTTATTAATTATGGTAATGGGTCATTTTTTGATCAAGGTTGAAAAGTAAACGACGGATTTTTTTTATTACGTTAATACTTTATGAGTAGTGTGAATATTTTATGAGTTCAAATACATATTGATAAAGTAGAGAAGCATGCTTATTTACATCAATTATATTTACTCTTGTGATAAACATATTATTTATGGTCTTTATGTGCATAATTATTAATAATTATATAATTGGGCGCATTTGTATACTAAATGAAACGTGTAATTCTATGGGAAGAATAATGTTGCATTTTGCTTACGATGTCTGCATATATTATATGATACATTATTTTTTATGGTATTGACAACGTATTTTTATATATAACCATGTTAACACGATCATTTATAAAATTCATTTCCAATACTAGAGTGCGTAATATGTGAATACAATATAACTACATTCCTTATGTTGTTACATTTCAAAATTCTCTAGGATAAAAAGGTCACAAATACCGGATCTGAATAAATTCAGAATTTTATAAATTAATATAAAATATGTTTTGTAAATTCTCTTTTAAAATTAAAACATACATTAAACTCGAATATCAATAGAGCTAGCTCTACAGTGAAGCAGCCATTTAAGCACTACTTTTAATGAGGCTTCATTTCCTCAGTGGTAACTTGTAATTTTTGACAATTTTTCAACCACTATAATATATTTAAAGCTTATAATTAAAATCTCTATAATTATAATACTATATTTATAAAATGACGTGTTTTTTTACTATCAAATTTTTCAGAAGGGAGGAGTTCGTTTTAAACCTTCCGCTTCAGGCTGCAAAACATGTAGATCAGGCTCTGAATGTAAAAAGCATTCGTTTGATATAATGTCTGCTTCAATTTCACGCTGTATGAAAAATTTCTGCATTTTAAAAACATTCAATGTATTTTAAAAACGTAAAAATTTAAGAATGCGTAAAACTAAATATTTATGAATCATTGTATACAAAATATGAAAACATTTACTGACACTAAAAACTATAATTTACTTCTATTATTATTCACAGGTAATTTAATAATNAAGAGCAGAAAAATTTAATAAAGGATATTCATTTTCGAATATCATAAAATCTATTTAAAAATATAGCTTACATGATATTTTAAAATAGATTTTATACCCTTTATTTAAAATATCAAATACATGTAGGGCCTATATCAATTCTGTACGTGATGTACAGTACGAAATTATTAAAAATACATCTTGTATGTTATTAATAATCAAAATATTGGAGAAGACTCGATTCGAAATAAAACACAAGCATTTAGTACTGCAAAGTATTAAAATAATTTCTAAATTTTCTTGATAATTTGATTTT